TTCCCTGTCCCCCTGCGCCGCCAAGGTAGAGCCAGGAAGGAAAGAAAATAGGGGGTGGGGAGGTTGTTGTTTTAAGATCTGGCCTTGTTTTCTCTTTTCTCCTCTCAAGTAACCGGTTTCGTTCCCTTGTCTCCTGTTAAGTAACTGTTAATAAATTGTTTTGTTTTATGAAGAAAGCCTGAGTGATGTTTTGCCCGGGACCATGTTTGGTGGGTGCTCCCTTTCGGTTCTTGTCTCGACCCTCAGTCCAAAAACCACGACATTAGCAATTTGTTTACTTGTACCAAAGTAGGTGAAGACAGAGCTTGAAAAATGGGGCTACAAATCACAATTATATTTTTATATTGTTTTTGAGAGGAGCTTGGAATGTCTTGCCTTTCTAAACCTCGTTAGTAGCCACTAGAGAGAAGGGAAGGTGGTCAAAAGCAAACAGAACATTCAAACTCATTCGTGAATAGAATTCCTTACAAGAGAAAAAAAACCTAGTTTTTGCTCTCTTATTTTCCCCTCCTATATAACTCAGAATAATTATGATGAATAATCTGATGAAATATAATTTGAAATGATAGTTCATACCTGGTGATACCAACTGTAACATTGAAATGGGTGGGATTTTTAGCACTGATGTGAACAGATCAGGAAAATATCAATGAAACCAATCTGAAAATATATTTGAAGGAAAAAATATGATTCTATACTCACATATTTTTTTCCTGCAAGATAAATGCATTTTGTCCATCTATTTTATCTTCACATTACATAAAAGCAAAACATTTGAAGCAGTAAGACCACAGGCAACTTCTATTATGTATATACCTTGTTTGCTACTGGATTCTCATTTGCCCTGTTATACGCTGTCTCACATGTTCATCCTGGTGCAAAACCAGACTGACAAAGCAGCAGCTTCCACAGTGATATCCTTTCAGCTCCAGCATCAGATCAGATCAACCTTTCAGTAAAAGTCTCTTTTCTACACTCTTCTGGATCAATGCAATACTAGCCATGATACGAAAAAGTGAAACACACAGCAGACTTAAGATAAAATGAAAAATAAATAGCTATAGTGTCAGCTGTTGACAAATGTCACAGAGTTATTGGCTTCCAATACTCATCCTCTCCATTCAAAATAAAGACATACAGTAATCTTGTCAATATCAAAATACTAGCTAGTGATATTTCCAATGGTGAAACCATAGTGTCTGAAAATGTTCATAGAGATATTTTATATCAAAAAAACCTTCAGGTTGCATCTATTGACTGAATGCATGCACTTGTTATAAAGAGGTGCACATAGATTTTGGTGAATTATCCAAATTCTCATTGCTGTACTGTCTTCTGACCTTCAAGGAACATTGTGGTTGTCACAAACCTTGTGTAATCTGATTTTAAGCAAGAAACAAGAGAGCAGGTTTAGAACTGATGCCTATGAGTCTCTATAAATGTCCAGGAAGAAAAAATATCAGAAATCCTTGTCCCAGCCTGAAAGTTCATCTGGGGGGGTTCCCTCTTCAGGTGGATAGCTGTCAAAGTAGCTGTAATCAGTTGGTCCAGACAACTAGGACATTAAAAACACAAAAAAATAGTTGTTTCAGTACATAATTTTTGAAAATACTCTCCCTTGATTATGCATCATTTTTATTGCTACCAGTGGAGGAATGAAAGACTACCATGATGTGGATGACTTATTTCAATGGATGCAATTCCTCATTCTTTAAAAGATAAATTACTGAGTAATTAAATTGTACAAAAGAACAGTAGCATTCACCTCCTTACACAAAAAAAAAAATCCCCAAATACTATCAAATCCTAGATTTCACCCAAAGGCCTACAAAGTCAGTAAGAAAACTGGGCCACACTGTGTACAATTTTGATTCAGATTTGTTTAAGACCAAATCTAGACTCACGGGGTAGCTACTCAAAGCAGATCTCAGAATTGGTTTTTGTTTCAAATTGAGTTCAAAGGGAATTTAAAATTCTTTACCTTCAATCATTTTTCATTTCAGGGCAAAGAGAAATAGCCCATTTAAAACAGGAAGCTCATTCAAGGATGTTCTGTTACTCAATAGTAAGAGAATACAGGAATTGGTACTCCGCACAATAATGTGAATAGTGTATCTTAATAATGTACCCATTACCAAGGAAAATATGTTTTTTCAGTATTTGTTTCTGACCAAATATCATCTATTCTAGTAATAATGAAAATCTACTGCAAAGTGCACGCCTGTGCATTTTAATAATAATATTTCCATTTTAAAACTGAATTTAAGCTATGTATCGCTTGCTGTCTCTCTTTCTTTCATTTGATTTTCATTAAAAATGGTGAGCTATAATAATTTAAACGCAGCTTTGATAAATCTCGCTCTCGCCTTCAGTTGTTTCTTTGTGACCAAGCACCATTATATTAGTAAAGTATTATGATATTAAAAGCCAAAGCCAATACCTCTCTTTTTAAAGGCGATGTTAATTTCCTCACTTGCAGACCATCCCAGTTTAAACCACTCAACCACCTGATTAAAAAGAAATGAGAGACAGACAGGGAGACACCAAGAGAGAAAGACAGATTGTTTTCTGTCATTGTACTATTAACAGCTGAAAAACGTGTGAATGAGGGTTATTTTCTGTGTTTTTCAGTAATGAGATGGCCCACATGGCACCAGGCTTTCTGGCACCGGATGGGATTCACCTTTCTCAAAGGGACAAAAGTGTCTTGGCTCATGAGCTAGTGGGGCTTTTCACAGGGCTTTAAACTAGACTTAAAGGGGGAGGGGGATAATATCAGGCTTGCCCAAGAGAAGCTGAGAGCAAGTGAAGAGCAGCAGAAGGGAATTCCAGCCACTCCAGCCAGTAAGTCAGTTTCATCAGGGGCCCAACTTAAATGCCTCTATGCAAACACATGTAGCACGGGGAATAAACAAGAGGAGTTAGAGGTGTGTGCACACCTGCAGGGTTATGATCTTCTTGGCATCACGGAGATGTGATGGGATGGCTCCTATGACTGGTGTGCTGGAATGGAAGGATACAGGCTCTTTAGGAAGGACAGGCAAGGGGGACAAGGAGGAGGTGTCACCCTCTATGTCAATGACCAGCTGGAGAGCATGGAGCTCCACTGGGGGATGGATGAGGAGCTAACTGAGAGCTTATGGGTCAGGATTAAAGGGAGGGCAGAGACAGGTGACATTATAGTGAAGGTCTGCTACAGGCTACCTGACCAGGAAGACCAAGCAGATGAGGCCCTCTATAGACAGGAGCAGCCTCATGTTCACGAGCCCTGGTCCTCATGGGGGACTTCAACCACCCTGGTATCTGTTGGAGGGTCAACACAGCAGGGCACAGGCAATCCAGGAGGTTCCTGGAATGCGTTGATGATAACTTCCTTCTCCAAGTGATAGAGGAGCCAATGAGGACAGGTGTTATGCTGGACCTTGTTCTCACCAAGAAGGAGGGATTGGTGGGGAATGTGAAACTCAAGGGCAGCCTTGGCTGTAGTGCCCTGAAATGGTGGAGTTCAAGATCCTTAGGGCAGCAACGAGGAAGCAGAGCAAGTTCACTACTCTGGATTTCAGGAGAGCAGACTTTGGCCTCTTCAGGATCTGCTTGGTAGAATACCATGGAATAAAGCCCTGGAGGGAAGAGGGGCCCAAGAAAGCTGGTTAATATTCAAAGATCACCTCCTCCAAGCTCAGGAGTGGTGCATCCCAACAAAGAGGAAGTCAGACAGGAACACCAGGAGGCCTGAACGGATGAACAAGGAGCTGCTGAACAAACTCAAACACAGAAGGGAAGCCTACAGAGAGTGGAAGCAAGGACAGATAGCCTGGGAGGAATACAAAGAAATCATCAGAGCAGCCAGGGATCAGGTTAGGAAAGCTAAAGCCTGATAGAATTAAATCTGGCCAGGGACATCAAGGGCAACAAGAAGAACTTCTATAGGTAGGTCAGTGATAAAAGGAAGACTAGGGGAAATGTGGGTCCTCTCTGGAAGGAATCGGGAGGCCTGGCTACCCAGGACATAGAGAAGTCTGAGGTACTCAGTGACTTTTTTACCTCAGCCTTCACTGGCAAGTGCTCCAGCCGCATCACCCAAGTCGCAGAAGGCAAAGACAGGGACTGTGAGAATGAAGAACTGCTCACTGTAGCAGAAGATCAGGTTCAAGACTATCTAAGGAACCTGGAGGTGACAAGTCCATGGGACCTGATGAGATGCAACCGCGGGTCCTGAGGGAACAGGCAGATGAAGTTTCTAAGCCACTATCCATCATATTTGAGAAGTCCTGGCAGTCCGGTGAAGTTCCCACTGACTGGTAAAGGGGAAACAGCCCTCTATATTTAAAAAGGGAAAAAGGGAATACCCAGGATACTACAGGCCAGTCAGTCTCACCTCTATGCCTGGAAAGATCATGGAGCAGATGCTCCTCGCAACTATGCTAAGGCACCTGGAAATAAGGAGGTGATTGATGACAGTTCATGTGGTTTCACTAAGGGCAAATCGTGCCTGACAAATTTGGTGGCCTTCTACGATGGGGTTACAGTTCTGGTGGGTAAAGGAAGAGCAACTGACATCATCTACTTGGACTTGCCCAAAGCATTTGACACTGTCCTGCATGACATCCTTGTCTCTGAATTGGAGAGACACAGATGTGATGGATGGATGAGTGGGTGGGTAAGGAATTGGCTGGACGGTCCCATTCAAAGAGTTGTGGTCAATGGCCAAGTGGAGACCAGTGATGAGTGGCGATCCTCAGGGGTCACTATTGGGTCTGGTGCTGTTCAACATCTTTGTTGGCGACACAGACAGTGGGATTGAGTGCACCGTCAGCAAGTTTGCTGACGACACCAAGCTGTGTGGTGTAATTGACACACTGGAGGCAAGGGATGCCATCCAGAGGGATCCTGACAAGCTTGAGAGGTGGGCCCATGAGAACCTCATGAAGTTCAACAAGGCCAAGTGCAAGGTCCTGCACATGGGTCAAGACAATCCCAAACAGAAATGCAGGCTGGGCAGGGATTGGATTGAAAACAGCCCTGAGGAGAAGGACTTGGGGATGCTGGTTGATGAGAAGCGCAACATGAACCAGCAATGTGCACTGGCAGCCCAGAAAGCCAGTCGTATCATGGGCTGCATCAAAAGAAACATGGCCAGCAGGTCAAGGAGGGTGATTCTGCCCCTCTGCTCTGCTCTCGTGAGACCCCGTCTGGAGTACTGCGTCCAGCTCTGGGGACCTCAACATTAGAAAGATATGGAGCTGTTGGAATGAGACCAGAGGAGGGCCACTAAGATGATCAGAGGGCTGGAGCACCTCTCCTGTGAAGATAGGCTGAGAGAGTTGGGGTTGTTCAGCCTGGAGAAGAGAGGGCTCCAGGGTCACCTTCTGTCAGCCTTCCAGTACTAAAAGGGAGCCTACAAGGAAGTTGAAGAGGGACTTTTTACAAGGGCATGTAGTGAAAGGACAAAGGTAATGGCTTTAAACTGGAAGAGATTAGACCTAAGGAAGAAATTCTTCACTCTGAGGGTGGTGAAGCACTGGAACAGGTTGCCCAGAAGTTGTGGCTGCCCCATCCCTGGAAGTGTTCAAGGTCAGGCTGGACGAAGCTTTGAGCAACCTGATCTAGTGGAAGATGTGAGTGACAGGGGAGATGGAACTATATAATCTTTAAGGTCCCTTCCAACCCAAATCATTCTATGATTCTATAAGACAAAAATGTGTCATGACAACTTCTACCCATGTGACAACATAGTTGTTAGCAGGAGGAAACTTGAGCACTGTCATTGCCATACAAGGGAGTGGTGGCAGGGGGAGCTTCAGGACTACCAGATAAATTGCATCTCCTCTGAACAGAAGTGCCAAAGTGACAGGCAGGTTAATATATGCATAAGCACAGTCATGCAAAGATGCATGTGTCCCCTTGGAATTCCACCCTCTGTTAACAGCATGAGAAGACGAAGACAAGCAGAAAAGTCAAAGTACTTCTTTTCCCAAGCACAGACCGCAGGACTTAGAAACAACTCAGATAAAAAGAAAAAGCGGGAAATATTTAACCCACAGAGGGCATTTTTCATTAGAAGAAAGAGGACAAAAACCTAATATTGCTCTGGAGCTCTTAACTATCATTCTTAAAAAGCAACTGTTTAAGGGTCGGGAGGTCTGAAAGGCAGATGCTGAACTGGCATCAATTTTTCTGAGAACTGAATTAAACTCCTACATCAGCAACTTGCGACAAATCCGGTAAGCAAGATGTTTCTAGGTAGTCATGCTGAGGATTTATGTTTGTATCATCGCTTGTCGTAGTTGCAAATATACTCAATAGCAACAGAGATCTCTCTTACGCAATATGCCTGGAAGTGCCTGGATCTTTATGGGTTTACTAATCTATTAAAAATATTTTCAAATTAAAAATCAAATTTTCTTCTTGGCAATCTCTTTCACTTACCTGTGCTTCTTGATGTCATTAATTCCATTCCTCAGGCTTCCCAATCTTTCTGTAGGGTTTTGCCTTAAAAAAAAACATAAAAAGAATACAGATAAGAATTTAAAAAATGTTATTCTTTTTTTAAAAGAGCATTTACAGGTGCTAACTGCTTGCATTTAACAGTTACACAGGGAAGGATCTTGCATACAACAAGTGGTCTCATAAGGAGACATAATGAGGTGTTGCTCACTGTTTTTTTCTTTTGAGGATGAAGAAACTTCCAGGAAGCCAGAACAGTATCACTCTGCTGTGAGAAGCAGCAGAAGGAAATCAACTAGTTGAATTTTAGTTGCATGCCTTTTTTTTCTTGGCCAGCAGGTCTAGTCATGAGTTACAAAAGGAGGCAGACCAAAAATTTCCAGCTACAAAGATCCTTTCAGTCCTGCTGCACAAACACGGTGTATACAGTTTCTAGAGCCGTGAATGAAATCTCACTGGAGCTGGGAGTTCAAAGTCAGCAGTGCCACCAGCCACAGGTTGTGCATGCCACTGTGCACTGATGCTTCTGAGTTATGTGGCCCTTTTGAAATACCACCTTTTTGCATATTTTCAAGTGGGCTTAAATCGGTCTTTAAGTGCCCTACGCTTTCTGTAGAAGCTATATGCCTAACTAATTTTGGAAACATTTTTTAAAAACACTGTGTTTGATAATAAAATTAAATAATTTAGCTCTTTCCTGAGCTGCACTTAATAAATTTTCCCTAAGATGTGTTTCAGAAGAAAGCCCAGACATAGAGAAAGCCCACAGCCTGCATGTGTAGGTTATACCTCTGCAGACTAAGAGGTATGACACGCACTCAGAGGTGCGAATGCGTACTGAATACAAGAGAATAGACCATGCTTGGCATAACAATTTTAAATGAAGTTTTCAGGCATTCAGCACTCTAGCCTGTATCTTTAATAGCTCAATCTATCTACACCTGGCTCAGCCACAAACTGCCCCTCCTACCTGCAGAGTCTGCGGATCAAATCCTCAGGCCGCCTTGTTATAATTTTAGGAAAATCCAGCTTTTCAATGCCTTTGAGAATCAAATTATATGTCATCATTTGATCAGCTCCAGAGAATGGTGGACTACAAAAAGAAAACAACACTGATAAATGGAATGGCTGGCAAGAGCAGATATGGCCATGGCCATTTCTCATCAAAGCAAATATTTGAGAATATGGAAAAAAAACCCCACCTTCCCAGTTTTACAACATTCAGCCTTTCAGTCTGTTTAACATATTAGAAAGGTTTGAAGCTGAGAAGCTTACTGTAGGTACCAGGGAAAACACATGACGGTATGTGTCCCTCTAAGTTAGCTCTGTCTCTAGCCTAACTCAGAGAAGCTTCCATGTTGTACTACCATTGAGCATTCACAAAGAGTTGGCTCAGAAGCATGCACGGAGGCAAAGAATGAGCCCTGCTTACAGTTCACCCACCCCACTGTACCCCGTCATCCATGAAAGGGTAAAAGAACAGTTTGCTGCCAGCTGTTCCACACAGGAAATATCATCACCAGCTAAAGGAGCTCTACATCAGCCACTTATAGCTAGTGTCTGGCTTTTTCCCTGGATGGATAAGCCAGAACTGAGAATATGTCCTACACATTGTCCGTGACGTTTCTGAAATGATGGAAGATAAGACATGCATAAGAGGCAAAAAGAAGTATTATTTTGTGAGTCATTCCTATTTACTGATGGGAAAAAACCTAAACTTTATTTTAAAAATAACCTTGAAAAAGTTTCTAAAAACAAAGAAGGTAAGAACTTGGAGTAGGAGGCACTTACCTGCCAGTAAGGAGTTCATAAACAAGAATCCCAAGGGACCAAAAATCCACACTGAAGTCATGGCCTTTACTCAGAATGACTTCAGGGGCAACATACTCAGGGGTTCCACAAAACGTCCAGGTTTTCTGCCCTGATTCGATCTTCTTTGCAAATCCAAAATCAACCTGATCAAAATCAACATATGCTGCACAATGCAGAGGTGTTTTGCACTGGGAAGCCTTAAGGTTTTAACTGCTTCCTCACCTCCTGCAAAGATCTCAGAGTTACCAGTTTACAGCTAAAACAATCACATAGTGTTGTTGTGAAGAAGAAAGAAGTAATTCCACTGGATTACCAAATGTTATAGAACCGATCCATTTATTCTCACGAGTAATTTCCTGAGTTATTTTCCTTTTGGATAGAACAACCCATGTTTTCCTTGGGGACACAAGATTTACAGTCCATGGAAAATGGGGGTTGCTCATTGTCCTCAGAGCGGGTGTTTCAAGCTCTTTGCACTTTTCACAGTCATAAGCAAGTATGGCAGGAGCTCTTACTGTGTTCCCTCTCTACAGAGATAATGTAGAACCTATGGTTGCTTGAGGCCAGACAGGGAGATAATTCAGCACCTGGGAAAAGTGGTTCCTGCCTTTACGTTAAGATTGGCTGCTGAGAGAAATTATTTTTGCTGTTTATGCTGTGGCAAGAGCTCTCAGAGGCTGCAAATCCCAGTTTGTCTGTGGCTTGCAATGGCTTTGCAACACCTTCATTTCTCACTATGCAATGAGTAGCCTGCCCTCTTTTCTACTGAAGCGTAAGGGTTATTAAACTTCGGGATCCTGGTACTATAATCACATGCTATCTATTTCTATCCCCTCTGCAAGAAAACAGGATACAGGCACAAAAGAATAACATTACAAAGGGATTACATCTTACCAGTTTTATATATCCTTCAGCATCCAAAATTAAATTTTCTGGCTTCAAGTCTCTGTAGATAATTCCTATGTGATGTAGATAGTCAAAAGCCTCTGTCACACACCCAACACAGAACTTGGTAGTGGCTTCATCAAAGCTGCCCCTGGAACAAAAATAATAACAGTCCTTGCAGACAATTAACTTCTAAAAATGCCTCGCTCATTGACCAGATAACCCAGAATATTAACAGCTTTTTTGCACTAACTTTCAGTACATCACTCGTGGTTGAAACCTGAACCAAACATCTTTTCATTGGACAGCCTTGGAGAGAGAACCTACTCGGCAGATGTATGAAGCCGACTGATGATTTTAAAGGACAAGTTTCCACATTGTTTGCGGTTACCTGTCTCTCAGCAAGCTCCACAATTCCCCTCCAAGGCAAGCCTCCAGTAGCATGTACACATACTTACTATCTTTGAATGTGCGGTATAGTCTGTGGAGACAAATGGCAGCAATTTAGGAAAAGCAAAATAAAATGTGAGACTTGCAATGTCTTTTCTCCAGAACTCACATATGCCAAGCCTCAGCCTTAATAACGCTGTCCAGTGGATCAAGGGGGGGTCAGCTTCCAAGGAAACCTTATAGTCTACTCACTTTACAATGAATGGAGAACATATCTGTTCAAGGATTTTCTTCTCAGAATAGATATGCTCTTGTTGTTTGGTGTCCACTACGTGTCTCTTCTTTATACACTTCATAGCAAAAGCCATGTTCTCATTTTTCACTTTAACCTGTGAATAAAAATAATAAGTACATGTGAGGCAAAGAAAGGATGTTTTACCAATCTGTTCTTAGTAGGTACACTGATATCCATCTCTTTCAGGACTGAAATTGATGACTGTAATGAAGGTCAAAGTCCAGATTTTCTGCAGAACTGTTCTGTATGATTTTAAGTCAAGCATTAGATCTTTTTAGTATCCTGGTTTCCACTTGTAAAATGAGAAGAAGGTTCCCTGTGTTCATTTTATGTGTGCAAAATAGCAGCAGTTTGGATAGGTACTATATTTTACAATGAGTTTATACCACAATGGGTCCTAATTTCAATTTATGATTTCTAAACACTAGCATAATACAAAGAACAAAAAGCAGAAGCAGTTTATGAAGACTGCAAATTATTTTACATTACACTGAAATACTATCCAATATGCAATAAAGAGGTGGAAGTTAAAACAGGGCTTCCAGGAAACCAAGGAAGCAGCTATTGGTGTTCTACAGCTGCCTGATAATTCAGTTTTTAGCTTATTATTCAGGTGATGTTGTAGAATTTCTATCGGGGCAGTCAGCCAGTGTGGAAATTTGTTTTGTGAAGCATGAATTAGAATAAAACAATTGATGGTCTAACTACTGTAAGGGATTATTGACTTCACTAAAATCATATAGTCTCCTTTAATTTCCCATTACCTTCGGCAGCCTGCACAAGAAGCATTCACATTTTTTTCAGATGTTTTCTACTCAGCCAAAGAAGAGTGGAATTTAAGACTTTAGTCTAATGAGGCTCTTTGCATCCCAGAAACACAGCGGTTCACGCTACTGAATATGACTCAAAAGAGCCATTACAAACTGTTGGAAATTCAAAGTCAACACAGCTCAGAGCTAGATCACACTAGTTATAGTTGCTGTGGGGCATACCAAAGCAATTCTAACAACATAGGCTATATGGTACTGGAGATTAGTTCAGGTCCAGGCAGAATCTTGGGAAAAGGCCTTCAATTCAGGGAACGCAATGCAGGTAGGCACATGTGTAAACTCCACGTGCACAAGCTGAGGAATATATATCTAGTGACCAGGAAGGTACTTTTATCAGCAGGGGACAAAGGCACACAAGAACGGATTTGTTTCTTTGAACACTGAAGTCCTGAAAATACTTTTTAACTATGCACCGCTTTATATAGAATTACCTCTGCCTGAAAGGCACAAGCATGCAGAATATTAAAAGCCTTCACATTTTTCAATGGTTAAATCAATCATCTAAGACACAGAACTGCCTGAATATGTTTAAAACAAACTCTTACAAGCTCAACCCTTCCGAACCCACCAACACCCAGAGTTGTGACAACTTCTAAATTCTGGAATGGGGAAGGAGGGAACTGGGCTACTTTCTCCTTCAGCTCTATCACCTCCAAAGACACCTCTTTGGTCAACTGTCCACAGAAGGATCTTCCTCTGCATTAAGAAAATTAACATAGGTTAGTGCTTTCCTTGACAGCAACCTGTATCATAATACTCTAATACTCTTACAAAAAAAAAAAAAAAAAATAAAAGCCTTCTTATTTCCTAATAGGATCTTAATTTTATTTTATGCAGAAGCACTTTCTTTCTGGACATCCTGTGGCAGTAAAGTAGATGCAAAATGCTACTGAAGTTCACTGACTACAATCAACAGTATTTTTATAAAGAGCTGATCCATGGTGAGGTTCCTAATTGTCCAGTCAGCTGCAAAACTTTGGGCACTCCAAGTTGAAGAACCAATTTCTGAAGCGCTATATACCAGTTCTAGTAGAATGATCAGAAATAAAAGTGCAGCTATATTTCTAAAGAAGAAAAAAATACTCTGCTAATCTTCCAACAGTGCTCAGGTTGAAATCAGAGGCAGATAAACTGAAAGTTTGGTCCACAGCTAAAAGCAAACTCTTTAATAGCACTAGTGCTACACTGAATCATTAAAAATAAACTGTTTCTTTTATGTCTGCTTATTTCTATTTGAAATGGTAATTAGTCTTTTGTACAGTAATAACATTTCATTAACTCAATTGGGAGTTAAAGTTGACCTTTAGGGGTTTTAACAGGCAAAGAATTTACCATCAGAATGCAAAAAAAAAATTATTTGAGCACACTTTCACTTCTTTTCTGAGCTTAGTTTTTGTAGGATAGAGCAAATTCTTGGTTGGAAGTCAATATATTGAGATTCTATGTAATTTTTGTTTCAGAAAAAATTTCTTGAACACCATAAGCATATCCAGACAGTTATATAATAGTGATTGCTATCATTTCTAAGGGTCCATCTCCATCAACTACCATCCATGATTTTACTTACATATCTATCACTCTTTTTTATGATTACTGCTAAAGATGTACTTAGCACATCATCTGACTTACTTTGCATGTCGCTTTTCATCAGCCTGGGCCAGATTAGCCACATAACCTTCAAGGTAAGTTTGAAGCTCCTCGTAAGTTCCAACAGTTTGATTAAATGTCCTAAAACATGAATAAAACAGTATAAACTACTGAACATACAGTGCAAAGAGAAAGAAATCACTATCTGTGCTGCTGCACCAAGGCTTTACATTGCCTCTAAGTCATGACCCAGGTGAGCTTTACGCCATCACTTTGACAGTACACAGCTTTGAAGAGGCAGTAACCAGCTGAAGTACCAAACTTGGTTTGCCAGAGGGTAGGGGGAAAAAATGCCTGATCTCCTCAGTTCATGTTATGTTTAAATAATATAGAGCAGGCTGGGTGTACTTTGCCTCCCACATGCACTATGGTTATGAAGTGTGGTTCCACCATCCCTGCCACAGGAACCAGATTTGCGTGAGTCCAGGCTATCAGTCCTTCCATCCCAATGGACAGAGCCCTTGGCATACAGTGCCAAAGCAACTGAGATCACCTCTCCTACTTCACAGGTGAGTGACAACACTGTGGGAAGAATAGATGTAGAATAGACTACTTCAGTTGGAAGGGACCTACAACGATCATCTAGTCCAACTGCCTGACCAATTCAGGGCTGACCAAGTTGAAGTACATTACTAAGGGCACTGCCCAGAAGCCTCTTAAACACTGACAGGCGCGGAGCATTGACCACCTCTCTAGGAAGCCTGTTCCAGTGTTTGATCACCCTCTCGGTAAAGAAATGCTTCCTAATATCCAATCTAAACTTCCCCTGATGCAGCTTTGAACCATTCCCACGTGTCCTATCACTGGATACCAGGGAGAAAAGATCCACAGTTCCCTCTCCTCTTTCCTTCCTCAGGAAGCTGTAGAGAGCAAAGAGGTTGCCCCTCAACCTCCTTTTTTTCAAACTAGACAAACTCAAAGTCCTTAGCTACTCCTTATTGGACATATCTTCCAACCCTTCTACCAGCTTTGTTGCTGTCCTCTGGACACAGTCAAGGACCTTAACATCCTTCTTAAATCGTGGGACCCAGATCTGCAAACAGTAATCAAGGTGAGGCTGCATCAGTGCTGAATACAGCTGGATAATCACCTCTTTTGACCGGCTGGTTATGCTGTGTTTGATGCACCCCAAGACACAGTTTGCCCTCTTGGCTGCCAGGGCACTGCTGACTCACATTGAGCCTGCTGTTGACCAGCAGCCCTGGATCCCTTTCTGCAGAGCTGCTCTCCATCCTCTCCTCTCCCAATTTATACTTGTGCCCCACATTAATCCATCCTAGATGCAGAATCCGGCATTTTGACTTGTTAAATTTCATCCTGTTAGTCATTGCCCAATGCTCCAGTCTAGCTAGATCCCTCTGCAAGGCATCTTGTCCCTCAAGAAAGGCAAGTCTCAACAGCACCTCCCACTTTGGTATCATCAGCAGACTTGCTAATGGTGCATTCAATTCCTGCATCCAGGTCATTGATAAATATATTGAACAGAACAGGCCCTAGAATTGAAACCTGAGGAACACTGCTGGTGATCACTCTATTCACTACAACCCTTTGAGCTCTACCCTTCAGCCAGGTTTTGACCCAGTGCACCATGAACCCGTTCATCCCACAGCTGGACAACTTGTCCGGAATGCTGTGAGGGAGAGTATCAAAAGTCAGAAAACCTGTATCCACCGCATTCCTTTCATTCACTAGGCGGGTGACCTTATCATAGAAGGATAAGGCAGGGGGTTTGGAACTAGATGATCTTTGAGGTCCCTTCCAACCCTAACCATTCTATGATTCTATGATTCTATGATATCAGATTAGTTAAACAGAACTTTTTCTTTGTGATTACATTATTCTTTAAATGGCTTTCAATAGTACCATAATCTCCTTAATTTTTCAAAGCACTGAGGTTAGACTAACAGGTCTGTAGTTCTCTGGGTCTTCCCTCATGCCCTTTTTGTAGATTGGAATAACATTGGCCAGCTTCCAGTCAGCAGGGACCTCCCCAAACTCCCAAGACCTTTGGTAGATGATCAAGAGGAGTCCTGCCATAACATCTGCTAGCTCCTTCGTTACTCTGGGATGAATCCCATTAGGCTCCAGGGACTTGTGAACATTCAGCAGATACAGCTGGTCCCTTACAATTCAGTGTCCACAAATGGAAAGTCACTGTTCCCACACTCATGGTCCTCTGAGTCAGGGAACTGGGCAGCCCAAAGTCTATCAGTATTATTAAAGACTGAGGCAAAAAAAGCATTGAATGTCTCTGCTTTTTCTTCATCCCTATTAGTCAGATCACAGAATCATAGAATCATAGAATGGTTAGGGCTGGACCTTCTAAGGTCATCTAGTCCAACCCCCCTGCAAGAAACAGGGATATCTCCAACTAGATCAGGTTGCTCAGGGCCTCGTACAACCTGGCCTTGAATGTCTCCAGGGATGGAGCATCCACCACCTCTCTGGGCAACCTGTTCCAGTGTTCTACAAATCTCATGGTAAAAAATTTTTTCCTAATATCCAATCTGAATCTACTTCCCTCTATTTTAAAACCATTACCCCTTGTCCTATCACAACAGGCCCTCCTGAACAGCCTCTCCCCATCTTTCCTGTAGGCCCCCTTGAGGTACTGGAAGACCGCTATAAGGTCACCCCGGAGCCTCCTCTTCTCCAGGCTGAACAGCCCCAACTCTTTCAGCCTGTCCTCATAGGAAAGGTGCTCCAGCCCTCTTATCGAGATATTGATAAGATGACCATCTTCAACAAGTATCTGTTCAATGTTTTCTTTAGATCACTTGCTATTAACATACTTTAAAAAGCCTTTCTTGTTATTTGAAACAACACTGGCCAGTTTCAGGTCTAGTTGAGCTTTGGCCTTTCGTGCCTTCCTGCATATATGAACCACAGCTCTGTAATCTTCCTGTGAAGCCTGATCTCACTTCCAGAGATGATACAATTTCTTTTTCCTCTCGAGCTCCACGAGGAGTTCCCTGTTCAGCCAAGCTGGTCTTCTGCTCCACTTGCTTGACTTATGACACAGTGGGGTTGCCTGCTCCTGTGCTTCTAAAAGGTGGTTCTTAAAGACTGACCAGCACTTGTGGACTCCTAAGCCCTCAAAAGCAGATTCCCAGGGTACTCTGCTAAATAGCTCCCTGAACAGCTTAAAGTTTGCTTTCTTGAAATTCAGGGTAGCAACTCTGCTGTCCTTTTTTCTCATTATATGAAAAATTTTGAACTCCACCATTTCATGATATCTGTGGCAAAGTCAGTCACCTACCATCACATCCCCCATGAGTCCTTCTCTATTCACAAATAGCAAGTCTAGGAGGGCATCTTTCCTAGTTGGGTCTCTGAGTACCTGTGACAAGAAGTTATCTCCTACAAATGTCAAGAATTTCCAAGACCTGCTTGTCATAGCAGTATGATATTCCCCGTTGATGTCTGGGAAGTTGAAATCTTCCATAAGGACAAGGGCTACTCATCCAGAAAGTCCTCCTAATTGTCTATAGAATAACTCATCAGTGCTTACATCCTGGTAGACATCCGGTACAACATCCCTTTTGTTTTCCATCCCCCTAATCCTCACCCAGAGGCTCTCAACCATATCATCACTAACTGTAAGGGCTGTACAATCAAGCCTCTCCCTTATGCATAGTGCGACACCTCCATCTTGCCTGTCCTGTCTATGCGTCCTGAACAGCCTGTAGCCCTCCATTCCAGCACTTCGATTGTGGGACTCATTCCACCAAGTGTCACTAATACCAATCATATTGTAGCTCTGGGAGCTGACCCACGCTTCCATTTCATCCTGTTTGTTTCTTATACTGCATTGTGTTGGTGCACAAGCATTTCAGATATACTCCTGAGCCCTCTGTACTCCCAGGAGCAGCATAAATGTTCCTACTAGCATTGCCATCCTCCAGCAATGCCATGCCAACCCTTGGCTTACCTACTGCAATCCTGTTGGTATTCCCTAGAATGCACCAGCTTTGGCATGCTTCTCTGCAATCTATTTAAACAAGCTAAAGAAGACAACAGGAAAATTCAGCTGTATTCACAGAAAAAAACAGCTGTATTCACAGTCCAAGATGCCATTTCCTGGGTTAGAGTAGAATCTTAGCCCTCAGTAGGAGCCCTTTTGGGATGCAGCAAGGAAAAGAATGGTGGCTATCCACATTCCAAGTAAGCATCCTTACAGCTAGCCCTGAGAAATGTGGGTTTGCTGTTTCACTTTCCGCCAGGAGCTTCCCTTCTTATATCTTCCATTTGTTCTATTCTTTTCCATTTTAGAAAGCATAAAATTGGCCTGTATCTGACAAAACCAGGAATGTGGCTTCATGTCTCCCTTGACAAAAGGATGTCCCAAAACCAGAGATATGAAGGGGCTTTTGTTGTTCCCTGAGCCACTGGATAGCACTTAACAAATGTGAAACATCATCATCACAAAGAGAGAAAGAAAAGAACTGAACTACTCTTAAGCTTCTGTGCTCCAGCATCTTCTGTCAGCCTCTTTTTATTAGGTCTTTGTCTAAAGCATAGCCACAGCTCAGTATTCCAAAAGCATAACCACTCGTTCAATATTTACTTAAGAAAACATTGTGATTGTGCCTACAGGGAAGTCACATCTTATAGTCAACCTACTGAAAGAGGATGCAAGTCTTTTATTAAACTGTAGCATGATACTTACTCTCTGTCTAAAACGAGGCACTCCACATTGTATTCATCTGCAATAACGTTTGCTGATCTGACATCATCACTAAGAATTGAAACAGATTAGAAGAATTCAGAAGCATATAAAAATTTTCAAAGTACCTCACCACTGTACTCATGGAGGGTCACAGCTGCTATAAGTGAAACTCCTCAAAGGCCTCTGCAGCCTGTATCTGGATTAATATTGCTAAATCAAATACACAATTATAGCATTTTACTAGTCATTATTATTGTCTAGCACAGTATTTTTTCCAGTTTCATTAGCGTTTGGATCATGACTTCCCTTAGCAACCTTGCAAGAAATTAGGATGAGATGTAATTAGCATTACATCAGGATTTACTACTCATTTCTGAAATGATCCTCAGATATAACACGTTCCAGAAACCAAACGATCCCTACTCAAATCACCCAAATAAATATGTGCTGTATGAGCTATTTGGCTCATAGGTCATATCTTCTCCGTACTCCTTTTCTCTGTTTCTCACTATCATGAGCACTGGAACAGAAACAACAGCTCAGTCCTGTAATGACGAAACTTTTCCATGTTAGGAGTCATATAGAGCCTGGCACAAGTTTTCATCACAGCTTTTACTGAGATATAAACAATAAGCTTATTGTTATGCATTAAGCATTGTTATGCTTATTGTTGTTGGGGCCAGCATTTGACTTTTGCGGGGAAAACCAAAGGTAGATGACAGTGTATACTTTCAAGTTCTCTCTGCAAAAATCAAAACATTAAGACAAATTCAGCCATTGCCTTCATCTGCTGAGTTTAAATTCAAAACAAAGATTATATTCAAAACAATCATAAGTTGTATAATCCAACATAGTCAATTGACAATTATACATTATGAATCAGACAATGTGAACTAACCTAATGAGAGCCTTTTCTCCAAAGTAATCTCCTTTATGTAGGTTTTTAATCAGCTGAGGCTGCGAGTGATCTGCGGTACTCTGGGTAACTATCACCTGGAAAGTATAGGAATAAAAATTTCAGCGAGGTAAGTTTCAAAGTATTGCCTGATTCCTCTTCTTTTCTGTGTATTTTGTAAATGTCTTAAACTCAGTAATGCTGCAGAGTTACAAATATAAATAATTACTCTCTCCTTTCAAAAATCAAACCATCAAACATTCCCTAACACCTCTCTGATTTTTGCTGGGAGATGGAGAAATGAATACATTCATTATTGCCCACCCACAACATTTTCTCATGATACCTTTTAAAACAGAGCAAAATAAATCGCATTTTAATGAAAAACTGAAAAATACTTCAGTTCCCACAGGTGTCATATAAGCGTTTTGTCTTCTCAACCCCTTCATGAAACTCTGCTTCCACAGTAGCACACATTCTGCTGACGCTCACACCCATTAGCAAAAAACAAACGAGAATATCTCCAGAATATCTCCAGACAAAGACATGTTTTGGAAACTTGAAACCTCTACTGGAAGTTGATTGATGACAATTCTCCTGATTTGATTCTTTAGAGTCCTGTATCAGCCTACAACATAACAGCTAATGGATGAAGGCTGCTGCCTTATTCCTCTGGGACTAACAAATGAAAGTATAGACCCTGAGCCACCTAGAGTGCTGCTCTCCAGTAAACTTAGGACTCCATTATTTCTTAGATGTTTCACAAGTCTATGTTTTGACCATCAGATATTGAAACATCCAGGATAAGACACAGGATCAAATCTCATATACAAAAAATTGACTTTACATCTCTTTGACAGTGTCAAGAGGCTTCAGGACATACTTTAATTACATTATAATTAGAACAGTATAACATGGGTTCATTGCGAATAAAAATTAGGCTCCCTGAATCTCTACAATGCTGCTCCAGGCTTTTGTCACAGTACTGTGAGCTTAACAGCATCCTCAAAAACTCTCTGTACAGATTTTCCTGAAGACCACATCCCTCAAGGTAGCTTTTGAAATACAGGTGTTTGTATATGTTACTTGTTAAGTTAGGCTTGTTATATCTCACCTTTCCTTTTGCTATTATAAAGAAGGTATTTCCTTCTTCTCCTTCCCGAATAACATAATCTCCCTTGTCATAGTACTCCTGTTGGGAAGGAAGAGAGAGACAATATTGTCCAATATATCATTAGCCTCTTTGAAAACTCTGATTACTATGCAGAGTTCTTAATACATCTTGATGTTCAATTGATGTTTAACTTCCTATCTCCTGCATATGTTGCATCCCGCAACAATATGTAAGCATTCCACTATATAAAGTATGTTGGCCAATCTATAACATATATTAATGCAGCAGCTCATTATTTGTTTAAAAAAATATTAACACTGGTATTATCCTTATGAAGCAGGGGAAAACAAGGAAAAAAATATCAAAAGCTCTTAAAAGAGTTCTAAGTCAAAATCTCTTTTCCAAAAGTAACTGACCTTTCTCTCTGTGCTAAGGAACCTTGCCTTCATTACCTAATTGTTTAACTTTCAATCAAACATTTTTTCCATGTCAACTTTCGGCTTTCTGATCTGTTCCTTATAAAAAAAACACCTAATTTTTTTCTTCTCTGAGTGTTTCCTAAAAGTTCTTCCTTGCCAAGAATCCCACAAAAAAAAAAAAAAGTCGTCACTGCTTAGGTTACTACTGTGCTAAGGCCATTTGCCATTTCACATAATCAGCACCATGATCTCCTTGTCCCCTTGTGCTATGGCCATGCATCACTGTGTCTCCTCCAACTCGTTGGGACTGAGGGTATTCTCCATCTGCAGAACCATTTCAAGACTGGAGTTCCTACAGACTTTCCCTATACAAAAAGCATTAATAGGTACCACTGCTCTTAGAAAACCTCACAGCTATATATCAAGTCTTTACCTCCGAAGACTGCTGGCAGGTGAAGCCCTAAGACACATAGATATTTGGCTGTTTTCATATGTTGAAGTCCTAAGGCCTTTTTGCCTTCACATTTCACAGTGTATATGGTCCATGGCATATGAAAGTATTACATACCCACATTGCAAACAGGTAGAGTGAGATCAGCAAAGAGAGTCAGAGACACGGATGGCAACTTTGTGCTTCATCTTAATAAAGGTTACATTATAGATCCTCTTATCTACTTGCTTGACTCCTTCGATGCCAAAGACATAACTTACTTTTATGCCTCTAAATGTTATTGTTTACTGCCAACAGGAATTCCACTCTGATCACGCAAAAAGCAATGTCATTAAAAAAAGCTTGGGTTTGTTTTTTTTGTATTGTTTTTGTTTTGTTTTTACTTATTTATTCTTCTTCGTTATTTTGAAAGCTTATTGAATACTATTTAGAAAAACTTAATGACATCTTACCACCTCCAGACAGTCCATGATCTTGGTTAATTTATCTTCAGGTAGGTTTTTCAGCAGGGACACACTTCCAGAAAACAGAAATGCAAAACAAAATAAAACCAGAAGTAGTTATTGTTAACAGTTTTTTCATGATCTCTTCTCATCTCTACAATTTGTACAAGGACATTCTGTCACTAGATAAACTGGTGGTGCTATACAAGCCACATCATATACAACTAAAGTGTAATTTGGAAGGTTCCAGCATTGTCATCCTGTTTTTTAGATAAAAAGAACTTGCATAACTTAAAATTTAGAAATGTGGCAAACATTGGTCAGTTTGTAAATCAGCTTTGTATTTCAGTAGGGGAAAAAATTCTAGCGGGCACATGGACTAATTTCAAAACTCATTCATACAGAATCCATTAATTGCAAAACAAAGATATTACAGTAATCCAATAATATATTTTCAAATGCACTGCAGAGACTGCAAAATCAGACAAAGATAACAACTCCTGGCCAACTATTAAAAGAGAATCTAACTATAGTGATGACTTAGTGAATTGCTGGTAAGAATCAAAAAACTTTGCATCCTGAGCACTCAGACTTGTAAAAGTTAGGAAATCATAGACCTCTCTAGCTACTCAGGCTCAGCAAGAAATATTTATAGAAATCAAAGATGGAGATGGACGCAAAAAGACACAAGATATTCTATGCATGGCCAGGCTTGAGATCTTGATTTGAAGCCATAACAGAATGGTCATTCTTTGTTAAAGAAAGAAAATACAAAATCAGCTAATTATGATTTGGAACCTCTAATTTTACCTTCTTCCTAAGAAAAAGCACTGTACAACTCTGTTCCCTGCAGAAGAATTATCCTACTCTCTGCAGATCTCTGTGTAATTTATGTTGGAATTAGTTCATAAATTGAGACATGCAGTTCTCAAGTCTCCAAGGGATGAGGAGTATTCCTTAATCTACTCAGGAGCAAATTAACTTCTAGTTGGAGGATTTAGTTAATTCTAGTTATTTAATATATTGTTTTAACTTCTAGCCACACAACCTTCCTATACATTTATTCCATTACTTAAAAGCATTCAA